GATTTGTGAGCTCCTCACACAATCCAGTCTGGTTAAACCCAGGATGGATCGTAGGCAGGCCAGCCTAAATGTTTCTAACCGGCGAAGATGTTCCATTAGGGGGGTCCACGTTTCGCAAGCGTAGAGAAGGGAGGGAATGACCGTGGCCGAGAAGACCTGAAGCTTAGTGCGGAGCGACAGACCAGGTAGCTTCCACACAGCGTTACGCAACCGATGAAAAGATATTGCCGCTCGACTGATTCGGAGTGAGACCTCTGCTGTTAAACTGGAGCCAGTCGTAAGCACACTGCCCAGGTATGGGAAACTCTCCACTCTCTCCACAACTGCCCCATCACCGATTGGGAGTTGTGGGGGTGGAGTGTCCGATGGTACAAAATACCCAGGCAGGTGCTTAGTTTTGGTGGGGCTGATGGTAAGGCCCCACCTCTTAGTGGCACGCTCCAGTCTCAGCAGCAGCGTCTCCAACTCCTCCTCTGACTGAGCAGCTATTACCAAGTCATCAGCATACATAACGTGGTTGAGCAATAGGGAGCCATCCCTTGACCGCACCCGGGCATCGATTAGCCTCCCATTATATCTGTACCATATGGAGATTCCCCCGGTACAGCTATTGAAGGCTTCACGAACTACGTGGTCAAAATAGATGTTAAATAATGTGGGAGCCAGAGGACATCCCTGTCGCACCCCAAGGTGTACAGGGAATGGCTCTGACTCCCGGCCACGTAGTTTTACCCGGGCCCGCTCACCATCATGAAGGTCCTTAATGATCGTGAGCAGAGGGTCAGGTACTCCAAAAGCACGAAGAACGACCCAGAGCCCAGGCCTACTGATGGTATCATAGGCCTTGACCAGGTCAATAAAGCAGAGATGTAGGTCTTGTTGGAATTCCCTACACCTCTGCTGTAGCAGACGGACAGAAAATATGGCATCTGTGCAGGACCGCCCTTTCCTGAAACCGCATTGGGGCTCCGCAAGCCTCTCCTCAGCGTGCCTGGCAAGGCGATGCTGAATAATCCTTGCCAGGACCTTTCCTGGCACACTGAGGAGTGAGATGCCCCTGTAGTTGTTACAGTCTGTGCGGTCCCCCTTCTTAAAAAGGGGGACCACCAGGGCATCCTTCCAATCCTGCGGAACCCGTCCAGTGGTCCAGACTGTTGTTATGATGTCATATAGGGCAGTCTGTGCACAAACGCCACCCTCCCTCAGCATTTCGCTTGGGAGATCATCTCTGCCCGCTGCCTTTCCTGGTCTCAGACTCCGGATCGCCTTCAATACTTCATCAGCAGCTGGCACCTCAGCCAGCCACTCACAGGGGGTGACTTCATCCAATATTTGAGGCACCGCAGCCTCAGCAGGGTCATCCTCACTTTGTGCCACGATGTTTTCCTGGCTGAGGGATTTTCCCTCCCCCAGGACCTCACAGAAATGCTCAGCAAATCTGCGAACCTGTTCCTGGGGGTCGGAAATTGGATCACCGTTTTTTCCCCTAATGATGGTAATAGGTGTGGCGCTGCAGGTTACTTTTTTGATGGAGTTAAATAGAGATTTGTGATCACGGGCCACTGAGGCAGACTCCATCTCCTCAGCAACCCGCGACCACCACCCATCCTTGCAGCGCCTCACGGCTCTCCGAACCTCCGAGCGAAGGCTGCGGTAAGCCTCCTCATTCTCTGACGTGGGATTCTGTAGCCGATGACAGTGGGCCTGTCGCTTTTTCTCAACCATCTTGAACAACTCCTCTGTCATCCAGGGTGTCTGGGGAGGTCTGGACCGCGTACCCAAAGCAGCCATTGCAGCTGCATGAGTCACAGTCCTAAACCTCGCCCATTTACCCTCGACATCAGGAGGAGTCGGGGACGATGCCAATCCCAGCCGCAAGCGATGATGAAATTCTCGCTTGCAACTTTCATCAGATAACTGAGACCAGGCCACTTTAGGTTGGAATGGGGTCCTGGGTGTACACCCACCACCGGAGTGGAAGAATGGCAGGCGCATCTTACAGATGACTAGTCGATGGTCAGAGGGCAGATCAGCTCCACGGTAGGTCCTGGTGTCAAGGACATGGGCTCGCATTCGCTGGTCCGTCACTATGTAGTCCAGCAGATGTTCTTGCTTGGACCCGGCATGCATCCATGATGTTGTGTGGATGCGCCGATGCCGGAACAGCGTGTTGGTAATTACAAGCCCATGGGCTGCACAAAAATCTAGCAGCCTCCTACCGTTGTTATTGAGCTGATCTGGCCCATGCCCTCCAATCACTCCAGACCAGGTGCCAGTATCATGACCAACTCAGGCATTGAAGTCACCCAACATGATGACTCTATCCCGAGGGGCCACTTTAGCCAGCACCTGTGACAGGAGGTCATAGAAGGCATCTGACTCATCGGCTTTGCCTGCATCCCTCCACGGATGTTCATCTTCGGTGGGGGCATAAGTAACCACGACCACCATTCCTCGCCTCCGGTTGATGGGAAGGCGAGCCCAAAGTAGCCTGGGGCTTACAGCTTCCCACACCTCACCGCCACGCTCCCACGCCCCCTTCATTCTTTTGTTCAAAAGAAGACCCACACCCTGTTGTTTGGCAGTCTGCTGCCCCGAGTAGAGGACTGTCCACCCCTCATGGTGGCAGGAGCCAGAGCCGGTCCACCGGACCTCCTGAATGCCGCATAGATCCAGGCGGTACCGGTCCAGCTCCCGACAGAGGAGTGGCAGCCTCTCCTCTGCAGTGAGCATTCGAACATTCCACGTGGCCAACCGTAGTGGCTTTTCGTTGTTTCTGGAGTAGCCCCGAGGGTAGGTATTCAATCTCCTGGCTCCGCCAATTGGGGTTTGGCCAGGAGACGTCATAGACGCCTGGCCCCCCGGGGCCTCCGGCACAAGCTTAGTTGTTACATATTTCAGTTTAATTCGTAGTTTCGAATTACACACAGACACACACAGACACATACACAGCGCGCTAACCACTACACTACAATGCGTTACGCTTCCACACACACAGACACACAGACAGACACATACACAGCGCACTAACCACTACACTACAATGCGTTACGCTTCCACGTGCGCGGGTCACGTGACAGATTTGACGTCACAGCTCACTTGCCGTGCAAAAATAAATGCATTATTGAGCTCCCCCCCCCCCAAAAAAAGTTTATTTTCATAATTGTTGCATGGTGTACAGTCTGGAAAGTACCCACATGGCAAATTTCAAGTTTGTTGCATGTCGGGAAGTTCGCTAAACATTTTGAACAGACACACATTCACAACTTTGCCTTTTATATTATTAGGTATAGCCCTGTGAGCCACGAGGCTCTTCACTCGAGTGCAACCGCGACAAACAAAAATGAACAAAGAACATCTTAAAGTGACGACGCGCTACAGAAACATCCAGGGAAAAAAACAGCAAAGTCTTCCAGAAAAAAGCACCGCATATCCACGTGTGTGCAAAAATCCCAATGGGATGCAAGTCTAACAATAACAACCATGATACAATTTAAATAACGTCATACTTCAACAAACAGACATGGCTTAACCGTACGTTTTCGAATATCACCAAAATAAAGCTATAAAAACAATGTAACAGTGATCATAGGAACAATAAGCGATGTACATAACGTGTACGACCAAACTTTGCAGCCATAGCTGGCAGCATGAGTCACTTCGTACCAGCAGGAGTATCAACATTTTCAATGCACCTTTAATGATCAGCACACTATAACCGAAACTCGAGATCATACTTTGCAGCGAACATCCGGAGTGGTGCATTTGATTTCAGGCCACTCTGCATAGCAGTGGCAGTGGGGGTGCCCAGCTCCTCAAGAGCAGTTCTGAGTGCAGAAATGAGGAAATAACACTTACTACCCAGGGACACCACAACAATTGTTACACAGTGATAGTACTCACTCCCACGCGGGCAGCAGAACTGGAGAATAAACAACTTTTTTCTGTTCATGTAATAACAGGTCTCTGCAGGGTGGGCTGGTGGGACAAGTCTCTGCGCTGTCTATTGCTGATTTTACACCCAACAGCACGAGATTTCACTTCGTTAAAGTATTGAAAGGGGACGGACGGACGCATTAATCTATTGCAGGCTGGTACACTCAGTTTACAACTTCGTTCCTACCAGTAAAACTCAACACGTAATCAATGACGTTTTGGGCAATAATTATTCATAGCACACATGAGGCGAGGTAGATCATAGTTTATGTGGGTTAGAGATCGCACAGCGCCATGGTGCCTGATGAAAATTAAATGTGATTTTTTTGTATTACCAGTTTTTAAGTTGGAACATGAATTGTTACCTAATATTAGCTATTGACGCCTAGACAAACCTTTCAATAAAAAAACGCATTACGACATTAACGCATTTCTTTCAAAAGTAAAAGTACATATCTGAAGAAAAAAAAATGCCAGCACAACGCAATGTGGAAAGGTTTGTTTTTGTTCCTTGTTGACCGCTGCCAACGCAACATCACCAAATTATTTTTTTGTCTAATCCGTAACTTAGTCCAGCAAGGTGAAGGACGCGCGCCTTTTGCACATTCACCACTTGGTGGTGTAGTATTCTCAGTGCATTGTTTAGGACCCTCACCGAGGCACTGTATATAGGGGACACGTGTGGCCAATAAGTGACCCCCCCACACGAGGGCCTTCTGTGTGCAGCAGCTGTGTGGCCCATATTTGGCGGCGTTCAATCATGCGCGCTTGCATAGCTTGCTCACTGGCCAATTCGGTGCCCCCCTCCCCTCTCCCCGCTGACAGACGCTTCGTTGGGGGGGGGGGGTGGGGGGCTCAACGTGTGCTCGGTATGCACCGCTTGCCCCGCACTCTCAAAGCGCCCTGGGGCTGCCCTCGCTTAAACTATTTCAAACACACCCTCCATACACACGCTCAGGAATGGCAGAGGGAAAGAGGTGGGGTGAAAGGCAAAGGTGGGTGGGTGGGTAGGTGGGGGGCGGGTGAAACACACTGACGACCGTGCCCGCAGACGACTCAAACAAAATAATGTCACGGTGTCAGAAATTAGTCCGTAGGTTTTTTTTTCGTGAGCGTCGCGAATCAGATGATGATGATAATAATAACGCATCGCCGCGAAGTAAACACGCGTGTTGTGACTGCTGTGAGTATTTTTTTGTGCATCCACGTGTGGCGTGGTGGTGTTTAGGTTGATGGTTATTGAGTGACGCCCCCCATTCCACCCCATGCACCCCCCCCCCATTCCACCCCATGCCCCCCCATTCCACCCCGTGCCCCCCCCATTCCACCCCGTGCCCCCCCTATTCCACCCCATGCCCCCCCATTCCACCCCATGCCCCCCCTATTCCACCCCATGCCCCCCCTATTCCACCCCATGCCCCCCTATTCCACCCCATGCCCCCCCATGCCCCCCCCATTCCACCCCATGCCCCCCCCGATTCCACCCCATGCACATCCCACCCCATCCCACCCCATGCACCCCCCCCCCATCACCCCGCCCCCTGCACCCTCGCTGTGCGAACTCACGCAGAGGGAAGAGCACAGCGGCAGAAGCGTCTGCTGTGCTGCCACTGTGGATTTGGTGTGCGCGCGCTCTCACCACCGTGGTTCCACGACCATCATCTCAACGCCACCATGGAGGGTAAACACTCAGGTGGGTTCCGTCCCTCTCCAGGGCGAGGTTTGCTCGCCCCTGGCGCCGTGGTCGGCGTGAAGAAGCTCCCAACCCCGAGGTGGCTCAGGATGGGGTTTTTTTTTAGGAGCGCTCTTGTCAACCAGACGCGCAACGTTCGAGTTGATGGGTTTTTTCACGTCTCCTGCGGTGTGGTTTTTTTTGAGTGCCCTCTCCCGGATTATTTAGTCGCTGCCTTTAAAGTTTCTTCTCCGTACATGCAAGCAGCTGTCCTGCTTTACTGCTCGTGTTATCAATTGTCCGCTTTCGCGAGTTATTTTCTGTTAGTTACTCGGTGCAGAACATGTGATTTTGTGCGCGTTTCGTTTGAACGATGTCAACCTGAACGTGTACGATATTCATTCTGTGTTACCAAGTTTAGATAATTGGATGTTGTGCAGTGTCACTTCCCATTCTTTGTTCAGTCAATTATATCCAAATTTTAGCGTTATTAAACAAGAGGATGAACACATTTGGAACTATCCCTGAAAATGCAGAATATCGTATTTGTATACCACATCTACAGCTTCCTAGCTCATTGTTTTTACGTGCTATGAAGAAGGGCCATTGGCCGAAACGTCTGATGTTATTGTTTTTAATGCGGTGTAAATGACGAATGCATTGAGTTCCTGGTTCATTGCTGCGTACTTACCCCGTGCCATTGATCAGATAGATAGGCACAGGTACATGTGTTTTATTAATTACCTCGCCATAATACACCCTTTCATACTTGTACATTATATTTAAATGTCTCCAATGTATCAACTTCTGATTGTCTCCGAATAGTTGATTTAAATATAAATGTTAAGTACGGTGTCGTACTTTAATGCTTGCATTTTAGACTGCCTCGCCACAGGACTGCACTGGCTCTGCTTAACTGGTTTTCAGCAGCCATTTCACAACTTACCCGTACAGTGTCTCCAGTTTTATGCAATTGTACATATGCTACGCGTGCAAACATGTTTGTCGATCAACTGCTGGATGAAAGTCCTCCCCGCACCAATGCAAGTCATCGGGGAAATATGACCATACTTTACCACGCTAGTCTGTGCAGATCGGTAAATGTACTTGCTGCTTAGTAGTTGGTAGAGTAGCGCATTAACCACGGTGGATTTTGCTCCACTGCCATCCGCTGACAAGTGTGCCCCACAAGCATCCTAACAACAACAGCTGCTGCTATGTCCGCCGTGGTCACCCATTCACGAAGCACTGACCAGGTTTGACTCCCAAAATCTGACAAGGTTGGGGGGGGGGAGGGGTGCATTCCAGATTATTTAGTCATAGAATTATGTCTCCGCAATAATGATAATAATTGAAAGGCCTACACGTTTTAAAACTCTGGTAAAATGTTTATGCCCATAGAAATGCACAGAATGTGTTTAATCAAATTCGAAAAACATACATATGTTTGGTCGCGTGATGGCTAGGAGTTTGAGGCATCTTCAGGAAGCCTGGGAGGGGTCAGACAACAAGAAATGCTGTTGCTAAGAGAGCTGCGGCTTCTCAGTTGGCTAATTATCACCTCAAGTCATCAAATCCCTCTTGAGTCAGCAAGGATTGTATATTTACTCATTCCCTGGCATCGGACACAGCTGTATTAATCTACATGTGACACAAGGGGAGTGCTGTGGTCCGTTTCTCTGAGGAACACACCCATGGTGCATGCCTATGTGTTAGTAGGCAACATATCATCATCGTCTGCCATGATCAATCCACTGCTGGATTAACGTATCCCCAAGCTGCCGCCATCTCTACTGATGCTGTGGTGTAACAATCCACCTATCACCTGCACACGAGCTGATTTAATCGGCTACATCCCATCGGTGGACGTCCTGTCAGGTGTGTAAATGTTTTGGCTGCCACTCCATCATTATTGATCATCGGTCATCATCCTTTCTCAGGGACGTGTCCTGCACCGGTAGCGGTACAGGTCACAAGCTGTTCGTGTATAATGGAAAAGTGTTCACAGCTCTAAATGCTCAATCTCCCAATCTCACAGTCTCAGAAGTCCGTACCGGGCAGTATTGCATGGTTGGAAAATTCTCACCCATTGAGAGCCGTAAGCATGACCAGCCGCCAGCTGCTACTTGGAACGGAAAATGTTATTCGCAGTGTGCACTGCTTGTGTGTGAGACGTTGCGCCATCCACAGACCATGGCCTGGACTCACGGATGCCTTCCCTATGATGATTATAAGGTCTCCGATATCAAATACTAAACATAAACCAGAGGCGCATGATGCTGGTCCTCAATGGCTGCTACCCTGGCAGGTTTAATAGATCACTTGAAATATCCAACTGCGTAAGGGCTGAGCACAGTGATAAATGACTAATGAACTGTTTAGATTCACTTAAGAACTATAATTGAGTGCCGAGTTAGAAGGAAAATCAGAAGCCACTTCAGCTTTGGAGGACCTTGCAAAATCAACCAGCTTAGCAAAAATGTGTAGCATTTTTCAAATGTAGACTTTTTTTCTATCGAACAATTACTTGCTTTTGTTTACTGATGGATATATAGTGCCGAGTTAGAAGGAAAATCAGAAGCCACTTCAGCTTTGGAGGACCTTGCAAAATCAACCAGCTTAGCAAAAATGTGTAGCATTTTTCAAATGTAGACTTTTTTTTCTATCGAACAATTACTTGCTTTTGTTTACTGATGGAGGTAAAGCACGTTCGTAATAATGTTGTTTTCAACATGTGTCCTGTAATGACTCCGTGATTACACGCACACCATTATGCAGTCGTGGTGTATTTATGTTGCACAGTTTATACGATGCCGTGGTATGACGCGTGCAATTAAACTGTAAGCGATCTTAATGGCAGGGCGAGTTTAACGCTAATTAAGAGCTTTACATGTTACGTCAGTGTTGTCATGTTGGCAACTCCCTTGCAGCGCTTTATATAAATGTTAGTCACTCTTTTAATTGGCTAAACTTATATACAGTACAAAGAAAAGTTTGCATGTGGTTTACACCATATATTTTCAACAACACAATGTGTATACTTCGTGATTACAGTACTAACAATGTACAGCCCTTTGTTAATACACTGCCAAATGAGGCCACTGGCTGATGGTGCAATGTTTTTATCACGATATTTTACAGGAGGGCCCTGCTTGGCACCCAGTACAAGGGAAATACAAACGCCGGGATGAGGCCCTCATCCAGCAGTGGATTGGCAGATTTGCTGTATGTGTACAAGGGAAATCACTCAATCTGCTTTCAGTTGGAGCTCTACCCACGTGGCACCTGCAGATGCCAAATCCTTCTGCACTGGTTGTTGGTTCCAGTTAACCAGCGGTTATCTCGTTCTTGGTTTACCATTTTCCAGGAACCGCGTAAAGGGCTGCCACTCCCTATTATCCAATGCCATGCCATATATGTCATCTAGCCAGTTTAGGCAGCGCTCTTTAATGACTGATGTAATTAATAGTTTTTAGTCAATTGACAGTTCTCCTTATATTTGTTATCACAGAAACAGCCAGTCTGACACAATTGCCCTGCATATAGGAGTCAATTATATATCTACAAATTTAATAACGATAATTTACAAGGCCTTTGGTCAAGAATAATAATAGAGTGATAGCCACACAATGGAACACAACCAAGATCAAGAGGGTAGCTACGGAGGAGATGGAGTGATGAAATCTTGTGTGGTGCAGGTGCTGGGGTTGATTCCAGAATCGTGAGAGTTTGCGGCAGCTTGGGGAAGCCTTCATCTCGCAATGGATTAACCATGGCTGATGTGTCACCATACTTCACCGTGCTGGTCGGTGTGGATTGGTGAAGTATAGTTGAGGGGAGCCCACTACCAGTTCAGATATTGAGATACGATATTTAAACCAGCTGAGACGTAAGTTTGACGTTCCGGAAGTGCATAATTTCAGCAGCACCGCTTCAACACACACGAACTCTGACAGTGTCCCACCAGCAGTGCTGTGTTTTCCCGAATCAATGTTGGTGAAATCCACTTCTTCCAGGCGCGGATCATCTCTTTACGCTATCGGGTCCTTTTTCAAAGTGAAATAATAAGACATTACCCCATAGCGTAAAGAGAGGATCTTTGCCTGTAAGATTGGCAGTTATCTGACCACGTCCCAGGCCTCCACTGGATCGACTCATCCTCTAATGAGTACCTAGTGCAGTATGTAAACTACGCCACAAGGGAGGCAAAGGCGGTCGTGCATGGTGCTGGACACCTACTTCCTCATGTATAGTTCTGACCTCCATAGGTGCTCACTAACAGCACTTGCCCCAAAAGTATATATGGAAGATTTTTGTCTTTGTGGGGACTGATCCAGCGTTCGCTTATGCACTTCCTTGAAGGCCGTGTGGCTGATGGGTTGTGTGGGAAATATGTAAGTGTTAACTTCATCTAAGGTAGATACTCTTTCCCCACACGGCACTCCCGCTCAACTCCTTAAACCTCATCCTCCCATCCCTTTCAAACAGGGAAACAAAACGTCACCGTGAGCAGTACCGGGACGACCGAATACGATGACTACGGCATGGCCACGGGGGGCCAAATGGACGACCCGGAAGAGCAGGAGAGCTGTCGAGCGGGGCACCTGGACCCGGAGCCTACTTTGAGCCAGCGTGCGGGCCGGTGGTTGGGCTGGTGGAGCGGCTGGTGGGTCACCTGGTGGCTCGGGTGGGCGCTGGGCTACGTGGAGTTAGGGCTCATGGTGGGCTGGTTCACGGGCGAGCTGGGCATGCAGGCTGGCACGTGCTTCGGAAGGCTCATCCCGGCCGATATGATGGTGTGGTGGCTTGGCCTGTGGGTGAGCGCGGCGGCCGGAGAGCTGGCGGGCTCCGTGCTGCCGCCGTGGGCCGCAAGGAGCGTGGTGGCGACGCTGGGCATCTTCGTGGTGGGCTCGGTGATTGCGCTGCTGCAGCGGGCGTTGGGGCACGCCGGGCAGCTCATCCGCGACACCGTGCGGAAATACGTGCGACACTCGGAGGTGGAGCTGGTGGTGGACGTGATGTTCGGCCTCGTGGTGGGCGTCGCAGTGTTCTTGTTTTCTGTCACGGTGATCGTCTTCGACATGCTCTACGAGTACGTGGGGCTGAGCTGGCCGGCACTGGGAGGCGCCTCTCTCGGGTTCTTCTTCGGCTCTGTCTGCTTGGCTTTTTACCGGACGCTCGTCAGTCCCCCGTGCAGCCAAACCAAGCAGTGACCCACTGGGCCCCCATCAGGCCATGATACACTAGAGAAGCAATTCCCAAACTTTACTTGCTTGCATACTAACATTGAAAAAAATATATAACTGGATGCACCACCAAAAAGCATTTTCACAATACCCACTCAAGAATGTACACTGAACTTAAAGAATGCAGTATTCATAAAGCCAATGGTTACAATATTTGTTGCAGTATACAAATATACCGTTAAAATATATATACAATTATAAATAATGCATACATTAAGCATGTATATGCGCACATGCAATTACTGCTTACCCGACTACATTTGGACACATAAAATCATATATTCATACACAGCTTCCTGTGTATGTACACATGCATCCTCTGATGCTTACATACAATACATATGTACAATACTAACTATATGGCGTGCCAATGTAAAACATTATGGTACACATACCGCAGTTTAAGTTTAAGAACCACTGCATTGAGGCAATGTTAGGGCACTTGTCACTGACAACACATTCACTATGAGCTACTGATGCAACTTGTATGTCAGTGGAATAGCATGACAGATCTCCGTCTAAAAAAACGAAAAAATATATTTTGTAGAAACTACTACCGTGAGGACTGCTGGCGATGATTACCCTGCAATTGCCCTTATGTATCATGGCCTTTAATCGTTAATTTCTGAACAAGCCAGGAAAAAACTAACGATAGCTATTGACGTACCGTGATGGTGATTTTTCAAATGAACATCTAAATATTACCTGATGACACGTTGTGCTGTATTTTGTGTTGCTAACAATAATTATTTTTAAATAGAGCAAATGCAACATTAGACTTGTTTTTCTTTAGATCATTTTAACTTGATATGCCGCAATGGAATTTTGATCAACAAATGTCAATGTTAAATATGCCCCCTATTATGGAATGATCATGAAAGTATAGATTTACTGTATATGTGTTTCAACTACTGTAGTATATTCGGGCTATGAACACGTTTGGATACAGTATTCACTTTGGAGCAGTCCGTATATGTTCTTGCTGCTGCGTGGCCACGTGGTGGGCAGCAGAGTCCAAGTACGGTACAGCGAAATCCATTGTTGTAGTATACTATGCTCCCATATCTATAGATTTTGCCTTCATCCCACACTCTCCATCTTCGTGCAATTATGGTGAAATAGCTGCCATGACCCACATGGCATACCAAGGCCCTCATGCAGCAGTGGATTTGACAATAAGAGCTATACAGTGTATTTGTACATGTGTTTTGTACAGATACAAAAGCACCCATTTTGTTCTCTTCGTGTGTCTAAAATCCAGGATTCATGTGGCAGAATATTCGTGCATGCGCCACTACCAAAATAAACCAAATTACTTCCGTCACAAGCTTCAATTCATTAAAGCCGACTCGAGCTAGCTTATTTTTTATATATTGTTTTGTTGGTTAAAAAATAGATGTTACCTTTTAAGTACTGTGTTGGTATTAAATGGGAACAACGATTCATAACAGTGGATTCGTTTATTTTGGGGCTTTATTAACATTTAGATTTAAAACGTGTTGTGTTGTTTAAGCAAGTTCTGCACCCGCAGTAATTATGTAGTCACTGCAAGAACACCAATGAAGTGTGTATCATGACGCGTAGAGTACTTGTTTGCAATGGTTGATGTGTAGAATATTCGTTTGCATTGGTGTCGTTCAATAAATATGGTGTTTCAGAATGTATGAGGCATAAGAGGCTGCTTCGTGAATTTTAGTTCAACCTCCGTGAGTGTCTGGAGGATGGTTGTCTATTTTTAAGCAACAAATTATTAGGCTCTAACGCAGTTGATCCAATTTGGCTTTGCAACACCGTCTGCGCCAAGTGGGGCCTATTGAATTACAAGCACACCATTATTTGTATTCAATCTTGAGTTACCTCCATCAGCTGGTTCAGGCAATCTCAGAAGGCCACATATTACTCTCCGCACAGTCTAGATATTCCACATTGTGTGTGGTCACGTGTTTATCCGCCCTTGGTGTCCTATCTCTAAAGAAACTTAACATCGTAACCGGCCTCTCCAGGTGCACTATATATCCTGTAAATACAATACGTAACAATTTGGATGTATGTGACGTGAAAATCTGACCACATCTCCAGATGCAGAAATATAATATGACCACATCTCAGGATACAGAAACGGCAGGCATATTTTGTGTAAAGAGGTAATCAGTCTTAAAATAGGAATGTGTTGAGCATGGACTTGGAAAGGGAGTCGACAGCACTTAACTATAAACTATTTTTTATTTTACCAGGTAAGGCCAACTGAGCAATACAACTCTTTCAGAAGTCATCTGGCCACAAATGATAGCTCCACGAAGTGGATTAGCACAAGAAAATGTATAGCAGCCAAGTACTCTAAACGCATGTTTCTAAATTTGGACGGAAAACCGGATTCAAATCCACACGACCATGGGGAGAACACGTCAACTCCAAATATGTAGGCGTCAGGGTCGGGATAAAACCCACAACATTCTGTATAGCAGGAGAGGTAGTTAACATCTCGCCACCATGGCACATGATGGCTGGAAAAGGGCAGTTCTAGACTGGGGGCAGCAGGGGAGAATCAGTTTAACCTAACGTGGACATCATCAAGGATCTGAATGATGCTCTGCAGCTGCTTGGTACTGGATATAAATAATATTTGTATTTTTGCCTTGTGTCAACTCCTCACTGATGTCATTTTAATCCATGTGTGCGCAGCAGTTTCATATTGCCAGCAGAGGGCAGCAGAGGTTTAGAAAAGCAAACGTGGCCACAGCCAAAAACGTGTCGGACAACGCAACCCAAAAAACATTGCCGCCGATTGAATGTACAGTATGTGATCTTAACAGAGACGTTACGCGTCAAGAATTTGTCATCTTAATTACATGAAAACGTTAACAAGCATTTAAAAATACTTTTAATTTGTTGTGCAGTAAAATATGTAATTACATAAAATTTGGCATGTTAGATGTATTTTTTGAAGGCAATGTTTTGGATTATGCAATCAATGTTTCACATGTTTACACAATTGGAAATGATGAGTACTTCACAGTGAAATGGCAGAATAAACGAGTTTTCACAATGGCAACCCCTCTGTGTTTTTTTTTAATAATCCCAATTAAAGACAATTTTACCAACGCAATGTATGATTTGTTTTTTAAAGTAATCCCAAGTATTTAATAGATAGCGTACAGGTGAGTGCCAGCCATTGGTGTAGCGTGGCTGGCATGGACCGGTGTAACGCATGAAATGGGGCCCCCTGTCCAATTTCCTCCCTCTTCGTAGCCCAGTACCTGAACCCCTCCGGCCCAAGGGCCCTGGTGCAGTTGCACGACCTGCATACTCGATAGCGATGCCACTGCTGCTCATTCCATGCACAGCGAATTTAAACCATGCTTCTTTGCACATCATCAAAGTCGCACGTGCCAGCTATTGACACATCCCATTGCACTGACTACTGGTCTCAAGATTTCGCTCACGCTGCCAGCTGCTCTTGTGTTGTTGCTGGAGGAGTCTTGTAAAATGTGTGTGCACACGTGGAGGCGGTAGCATTCACAACACTATATGGCGGTCGAAAGTGGGAGAGAGAACCAAGACAAAGGACACCTATGAGTCATATGGTAGATCTTCGCCCAAGACCCTTATCCCTGGATAAAATACCTTATGGTAGAACGTCTCCCACTATGATAGAGCTTCTGCGTCCTGGCTGATTGACTTATCCTCTGTATGGGAGGACAACTAACCCAACCCGAATATCCTCTCTCTTTTTAATTGCACGCAATGAAAACGACAGCGAAGTTCATGCGATTACGGATAAACATCTTGATTTGCTTAACCAATTGACTTTTTTTACTTCCTAACACGCACATTTATTTTACAACCTATACCCTATCAAATAATAAGATGAATTCCTTTAGGTTATAAAACACTTTCACGACAATATCATCTAAAATAACTACGATCACAGTTGGGATAAATGTAAAGATCTGGTAGGGTGGAAGATCCGCCATGGCAAGAAGAGCTGACATATGGAAGTGTATCCAGGTCAAAAGATCTCCCATATGGTAGTTTGTGCAGGCGGATGAGGTGCCGTGCAGAAGATGTGTCGTGGGGCACAGGTTAGAGATCACACCAGCCAGCCAGAGAAGACTTCCAGCTGGATGGAGATCGACAGTGAAGACAACCACTGTTGCATACGTGCCACCGCATCTTCTGTGTGCAGCTCTACTATCACGACATCTTCAAGAGAGTGCTTTAATCCCATTGCACTTATAAAGATACATGATGATAGCCAGGCGATGCATAAAACTCTGGGCAGACACTTGACATTCATCAAGTACAAGCATTTAGGTCCTGGGCAGGTCCTAATGGTCTTCCATGGAATTCGTTGTGATGCACGGTAGTGATAACTGAAGATAGCAAATGAAATGTATACACTTATTTTTAAATCTGTAAAACATCGAAGACTTTGATCAGAGTTTGGAGAAGCTTGTGCGACTGTATGAATCTTAGTAGCTAATGCACATTTCAGGATGGAGCAGATGGTTTTCACACAGCACTCTGCACCTGGAGGCATGAGTTTGATTGCCGGCCACAGCTAACGTGAGTGGAAGGTGATACTGTATGTTACACAGTCATGGGCTTGCCAAACAAATATTCGCCAACCTTCCATAACCAAATGGGACATTTTTGCCAGTATCAAAGTATGAAAAAAGATAACAGCTTTGACCCTTTCCGACAATACAAGAGGAGGTGTTAAGATGTTCAAACACCAAATAGAAACTTTTTGCAAGAAATCAAGTCTGCATTAACCACACGTCCTTGTGGTGAACATCCAGAAGTGGATACGCAAAATTATGTATAATATCTTTATTTTAATACACATTTACAAATACTTTGTTCATTAGTTCCCTACAGCCTTCATTCGATTTTTAACTAAGGAAAACATCTATCTGAGCTTTTACGTAGATAAATGTGATAATCTCACAGTTCAATGTGTGCATGTGAGCTGGGACATTTTCCAGAACTCAGCCCCGGACAACTCCCGACTGAATTAAAACCCTCCATGCGACCCGGACATGCACACACGTAGATGAGTTTTCACGCTACCCTGTAGTAATGACAGCCTGATAATACCCGTGTGAACGGACAACCATCCCAATCACACAAAGGGTTTTTTTTTTTAATATATATTGCAAATGCAGTTGTGAACACACAACCCCGAAAGCAGAGGTTGTGGAAGCACTGAGCAAGTTAACCTGGGATTAATTTGCTGTCCGATAATAAGACGTCGCTATTACATGACCCAACTCCAAGCCTACTGACCCCCGTCCATCCTTTTAAATCAGATGGCCTAACAAACACACCTGCGCGTGGCTTCATGCATCACCATTCTACTGCGCCTACGGCTAAAATCACCCGGGATCAGGTGTCCGATCTCATCAGATTTCATAAGTCTAAGCAGATATGAGCCTGGATAGTGCTCGGATGGGTGACCACCAACATAGGACCAAAGGGCAGTCGGAGTAGGCGATGTGATCAGTAGAAGGCACTACAGCAAAATCAATTGATCTGCTCATCTTCGCCAACCTGCATCGATCATTGGTGGGGAAGTATGGCCAGATACTTATCATTGTCTACACGGTGTGGGGAGGCCCACGTCCATCAGGGGGATGGACACAACTGGCTGTATTTGTGTATATTGTGCCGGATTAACCATATTTATCAGACGCTCCTGAGAGGACAACGCCAATCCATTAAGGTGCGACCGTCGATCAGTAACGTTGCACAAATAGTTCATTGTTCCATATATTTGGTATAGCCCTGTGAGCCAATCGGCTCTTGAATCGGGTGCAACCGCAACAAATAAAAAACAAAAACACGAACAAGAAAACATCTTAAAGTGATTATGTGACTATGCAAACAGAAAATCCAGGAAAAAAACATCAAAAAATACCACCGTACACCAACGCTGTGTGCAAAAATCCCAGTGGGATGTAAGCCAAACAACAACAACAACAACCAACTAAGATTTAGGCCATCAGTCCAACTCCGTACTACAATAAACAAAAACATGGCCAAAACAAAAAAACGCTTTCAAAATCACCAAAATAAAAGCCAAAAATGCAATGTAACAGTGATCATAGGGACTGTGACCGAATTTTTAACAAAAAACTACATAAATAAATTATAACACCAAACCCTAGAGCCATATGTTAAGCCACTGAATAGCAGTGGCAGCTAGGGGTGTACAACTCCTCTCGAGCAGTTTTGAGTGAAGATCTCATAGGTAGTGATTCAAGTTGCAAATCTGGTCGGGCAGCAGATCTACCGGGATTATTCGACGCAACCCTTGAACTTTTACTTGAACTATAAATGCAAAAGTAAGGGGAGAGATTGTTCACGCTTACGGTGGCTTTCAGACCGCATCCATTATTTTCGTCTCCCCCCTCCTCTTTTCCGAACATAGATGGACTCGTCCATTTGAACAAACTGCCAAATCGCTCTCCGTGGTGCTAACGTTAAAAATAATCGCCACTTTTTTCAAATTTTCTTGCTGTGGTTTTCACACCTGATGATGATTGCTTGTGTTGCAGTCGAAACGTCGTGAGCATTTTATTGTTTTCTATTTTAATTATATTATTTTTTCCCTTCTACGTGACTTTACCGAAAGAACCAATAATATGAATCCCTGCAGTCACGAAAGCTTT